CCCGCCGCTCCCTCTCTCACCTCTCTCTCTCTCTCTCTGTCTCTCCTCCTCTTCCTCCCTCCCCCCAGGCCAAAATCCTGCACATGATGGACGACAACAAGCAGCTGGCGCTGCGCATCGACGGGGCGCTGCAGGCGGCGGGCCAGGAGGTGACGGCGCTGCGCGCCGAGCTGGCGGCCACCGGCCGGCGCCTGGCCGAGCTGGGCAGCGACCCGGCCATGGAGCACGGCCCGCACGGCGCGCAAGGTGGGTCCCGCCGCGGGCAGGGGGCGAGGGGGCTCCCGGCAGCCGGAGGGGTCCCCCCCGGCGGCCGCCTCCGCTCGGTGTTATTGTCCATTGTTTGTTTTTGGGGGTGCCCGGCGCGTCCCGTCGGGCCGTGGTTGCGGGTTCCCCGCTGGGCTCGGAGCAGTCCTTCCCTGCCGTGGTTGCTGCCGGCGGCTCGCTCGGCTCCGGCAGAGGAGGGACCCCCCCGCCCCAAATTCTCGCTGCCCCCCGCATCCTCCCGCCGCCACCGGCAGCACCCCCTCGGCTCCCATCGCCTCGCCGCGCCGCGCCCCGGGGTCCCCCGGCCGGCTCTCCCCGGTAATCCCGCGCCCTCAGCCGGTTTCGTAATTCGGTAGGAAAGCAGCCATGTTACCGCCGCGATCCGCGCTCCGCGCCCCGGCCCCGCACGGAGCCCCGGCCCCGCCGTCCCCCGTTGCCCCCGCCCCGCGGGGCTCGGTCCGGCCCGGGCTCGGTTCGGTCCGGCTCGGTCCGCGGGGCTCGGTCCGGCCCGGGCTCGGTTCGGTCCGGCTCGGTCCGCGGGGCTCGGTCCGCGCACGGCACCCGGAGCCCACCCCGAGCAGCGGCACCCCCGGCACGGGTCGGGGTGGGCTCGGTGTGCCCCCGTGCCAGGCACACCCCCGCTCTGCCCCCCGCATCCCTGAAAAGTTGTCTCCGTGCCTCGGGGCCGAGCGTGGAAAACGGGGTGCAGGGGGAGCGGGAAGAGACTTTGTGTGGTGGGTAAGGAGCTGAGCCCGAATCGCTCCTGTAGTACTCGCGGTGCTCTCGCCAGGCTGAAATTCAGTTTCCTGCTAATCAAAGTGTGTTGCCACCGCTGATACGTTTTTATTTGAATGCTTTTGTATTTTAGGGTTTATATTTCCCAAATAATTACAGGCTTGCATGACAGTTTACCCCGAGCAGCCTTGATGTCAGAGCAAAAATAGTGCGAGCCCTCCCCTTTCCCGATAACTGAATTTACACCTGTGTGATAAAAACGTCAGTAGCTGTTATTTACTCGTTACTTATTTACTGTACCTCTTGGTAGGGTGGTTCGGCGCTGTTTTAAATAACAGTAGCATTTTGGTGAAGCTCTTTAAGGGTAGCATAGCGTTTGGCGGGGCATAGTTGCTGCCGGCAGGATGTAATCATGGAATAACAGAATCGCAGAACACTTTGGGTTGTAAAGGATCATAAAGATCATCTTGTTTCAACCCCCCTGCCATGGCTGGAACTGATTGGATTGCATGCCGGTGTGCTGTTGTTCGTGGCAAACTGATTTAGAGGGATTAATTAGTGGTTTTATTCCATCCAGCTTACGTTTCACTGTTTTGGTAGTGGGGGTGTGGGGTGTGAATTCCACTCACCCAGCTGAGCTTCCAGGTGGCTGTGGGGATGTGGGAAGTGAAGTTACCTGTGTGGCCAGGGATTTTCTGAGATGCTGTGCAGAGGTTGGGATAATCTCAGCCACGCTCTGCCGTACCCCACAGCCAGGCTACTGAGGCTCTTGCTTTTATAAAAATCTGCTGAAAGGGCAGAAGGAGGATGCCAGCCTCCATCCTCCCCTGTGGAGCAGGGGCATCAGGAATGCAGATGGTGACACGATGTACAGGGCATGCATGTGGAAATGCAGGCTTGCAGCCAGGAAAGCAGGTAAAACCCTTCAGCTGCTCGTGCTCACACTGATTCCTGTGTGCGTGTTCAGTGTTTGCTTTCGTTTCCTCTCCAGGACACTTCTGGGGAGATGCACGTTTCTGCAGCTTGTCCTGGCAAGGGACAGGGGGGTGTGTTCTCTGAGGTTAGGGCTTTTTTGTATTTTCCTCAGAGGTTTTCTAATCTGTTGAGTGATGAAAAATACTCCTCTTTGTGTTCCTTTACTATCAGCATGCTGGAAAACAGTTGGTGCCTGTAAAGGTGCCAAAGAAATGTGCTCTGTTCCTCAAAGCCTGCGTGTTTCTGCTTATAACTGATTACACGTGCTGTGGAGTTGTGGATGGGGGGAAAGGGTGGCCCCACCCTCAGCTGGGTGGGAGAGTGGTACCTGCAGCTGAAGTTGCTGGAGGGTTTGGTCCATCTTCCCACTCTCTAAGGTGAGAAATTGGGCTCAGCATGCTGATGACTGGGAGTCAGGAGAAAGGACGCTTCCGCAGCAAGGTGTGACTCCATGGCCTTGTGGCTCTGAATGAGTCTTTGTCTTTCCCCATGAATTTAATAAGCTGTTATTAACACTGTGATATATCCAGCCCTGTACCACGGGTGTTGTAACAGAAGTCAATCAGTTAAGTGTAAAATTGTATCTAAAAGAGTGTTTTGTCTGTCATGTTTAGGAAGCAAAAGGGGGAGAGTACTTGATCTCTGCAAAACCCACCGAGCAGATTCACTGTGCTTTGTGTTTCCTCCCTAAGTTTGGTACTATTGTTTATATGCTGCCATAAATGCTCTCCTACATCACTCTGTGTTTGTGTAGACAGGCCCAAGATATCTATAGTGAGCCATATGCTTTTCCTCAAGGATTTTGAGACGACGTTCAGAAGGATGGGGTGAAAACAAGAATCTCTGAATAGCTCTGCTGTTGTGTGTCTCCTAAGTAGGAGGGCTGCCAAGCTGTTTGATTTATGCAAATATCTTAAAGGCAGGCAGGAGGATGGGGAATAGGGTGGCAGCCTGCAAATGCAGATTTGGGGGGGTGCTGGTGGGTGCTCTGCTTTGTTTCAGGAGGAAAAGCCTGTGGTGGAATCATCAGGTCCCTTTGCTTATAGAATCCCAGAATGGTTTGTCTTGAAAGGTCTTTGAAGATCATCCAGTTCCAACCCCCTGCCACAGGCAGGGACATCTTCCACTATCCCAGGTTGCTCCAGTCCCTGTCCAACCTGGCCTTGGACACTTCCAGGGATCCAGGGGCAGCCACAGCTTCTCTGGAGAGCCTGTGCCAGGGCCTGCCCACCCTGACAGGGGAGAATTCCTTCTGTGTGGTGGGAAGGAGCTCACGATCACAGTGCTGCAGGCAGCTGCTCCAGGTCAGTCCCAAGCTGTATGGAAGGAGGTGAATGTGTGTCTCTGTGCCACGCTCAGTTGGTAATTAATACTGAGTATGTCAGATGTGTTATTTGTGTAATTATGGTGCAGCTTGAGACAGCTGGAGGTAATAACTCTGCCCCTTTTGTGCACTCTGAGACTTTTTTCCTGCTACAATGTGCTATTTTTGCCATGGCAAGGTATGTTTTGAGGGCCTCTTTTCCGTAATTTTAATCAAAACTGAAAGAATTCTGCAAAGAGGGAGGGCAGGATGGTGGGTGTGCGTAGGTAGGCAGGAATGGAACTTGTACATTGTTCCAGTCCTTAGCATGAGTGTTAATCATTCAAACCTCTCAGCCCTGACAATCTCTGTTAACCAGTGAGTTTGCTGGGAGAAGTATTTTGGCTGCAGCCTCTGTCTAAACTTGGATGCAGATCAGGGTGGAAATCAATACTTCGTGTCCCCAGCTTTTAGCACAGCAATTACAGGCAGCACTCAGTAACATCTCTGCAGCTGTGTGTCAGCACCCTCGTGTTGGAATCCTTGTTTGAATTTGTATTGGTTGAATTGATTGTGAGCAAGGGACGTGCCCAGTGGTCCAGGTGGGATGCTGGTAATGAGAGGGGGATGCAGCAGAGCATTGCTGTGCTGGGTCCATGCTTAGCTGTGACCCCTGTCCGTGCTGGCTGCACCTCTGGGATTTTGGCTTCGTGGCTTTGCCCAACCTACACCTGTATTTTCATCCGTTTGGTTTAATGCAATATCTCTATGGAAAACTGAAGTCTGGTGATGACTTGCCGTGCTGCATCAGGTGTTTGGTCCGTTCAGCCTCGTGTTTTTGCTTTAGTCTCCTTCCCACATTAAATGGAAAACACCTTAATTAATTAATGTTGGTAAAGTGCTTGAAGATGTAACGCGCAATCAATGGCTAAGTGTTGTTAATAACACCTCGCTCAGCGTTTGGCTTATCTCATTTCTGATTTCAGAGCGGCGCTGGCACACTCTGATCGTGTCTCCTGGCCCGTGGCAGTGAGGATTGGTGGTGTTTGCCATGGATGCTGCCAAAATTCAGCTGGGGACGGGGCAGGAGCTGCACCCGGCTCCTGGAATAAAGGGCTGCTCCTTGCTGTTATCTCAGGCACGTGAAGAAAGATTTCAGTTGTATCTTGGGATGTGGTGATGCCAAGGGGCTAGGAGGACCTTTCTGCTCACGACGGCCTAAAATAGAGTTTTTTCTTTTTCTCTTTGATCTCAGTATCCTTTCATAGCTACAATGCAAAGACTTTGACTTTTGCCCGGGAGGCAATCAGTTACCTCTGTGCTGTTGCTATTTTGTGAGTAATCATCTCTGGCTGTTGAAAATGTACCATTTTCATCTCTTCAGAAATCTTCCCTGCTATTTGTTCTTCCGGAGCTGGAGAGCTGATACTGTAAAGAAGCCTGAGGAATTTGGATACTGCTGCCCAGTTGGGTATCGGGAGCATTTTTGTACCATGCTTATCACAAGATCAAGGTCTTGCTGTACTATTACTCTTTCTAATAATTTCCTACTTTGTTTCCCTTTGTCCTGCGTAGTTCAGGGAGCAACTCGTTTCATGCTCTAAAACAATTGCCTGTGCTGGGAAATAAATCTGTGCTTAGCAATGTTCCCATGGTTGCTTTAGACACAGGGAACTGCCTGCTGATAACACTCCAGGTCCCTGCTATATCTCAGTCTTTGAAGATGTTAATTTAAGTATCTTTTCTGGAGCTTTCCTATTCAAAAGCCTCATCTGGCATGGTTAGCATAATATTTAGATTATCATTGCTTTAGGCTTTGTCCAGGGGAGTTAAAATGAAGCTTCTAAGGATGAGTAAGCTCAAATAAACTGAAGTTGAAGGAGGACTTAATCCAGGGCTTTTGACTCACCAGTTTGAAATATAACCATGAAAATGGTGTTAGATTTGCAGGTGGGCAGAGGGACATAGA